TGTTGTCAGCTGGGTGTTTCGGGTTTAACCCGTTCCAGCAAATAGTTCGGCGGCAGTGTTCCAGGACGTGGTGGGTTTCGGCTGGCAAGCGTTCTCCCCATAAAAAGCCACAAATGTCTGCTTATCAACACTGTGACGTGGCGGTCGTGACTCGCCACAAAATAAAGTCCTCGCCCCGTGGATATCCGGATTATCCTATCCAACCCACGGACACCAATCTCCTACTCGCATATTGATGACGATAGCAAAGATTGAAGATTGGAGCAGCACAAATGCAATCACAAACTACACAAATACATACACATACACCCTTAATGAAATACTTACATACCCCCTACAAAAACACAAAATGCTATGGCAAACATATCGGATTTTTGCACGTTCTTGGTCATGCATCGTTATGTCAAAATGATCATTCCTGTAAGGGCGTGCCTCACTTTGTTGAGAATAAAAGTTTTATTTATTTATTTATAGTTTCACTAACACCAGGTCTAATGCGCACTGTGCGAACGATGGATGCCTATGGTTTGCTGTAACGTTGATAATGATCTTTACGAAGGTCTTCAGCGCACCACCTCTAAAGGCATCAACTTTCACTGCAATTCATGTTTAAGGTTGGTTGGCGACAAGCAACGTCTGACGAACCCTTTCAACTTACCTACTACTTCCGCGCTGGCCGGTTCTTACTCGCACAGCGAGACGCCTATCTCCGCATTGTGGGGGCCCTCGTCTAAGTATTTCACAACGCAAGGGAAACAAAGCCGTGCGTCCCCCACCACGTTGGGCTTAAACCCATTGCCCAGTGAGAACGGGAATGCGCTGATGCCTCAGCTCAAGTCCTATGCCACAGTCGCGAGCGCTAACACCTCAGCAAACGCGAGGACTGCCATAGCTGAGAACAAGGCCTCGAAGAAGAGCTCCACACGAGACAAGGTAACATCAACCACCAAAACTGTGGAACTAAAGCTCGTCTTAAATGCAGTAGCGCAGCTTGAGGAACTTGTCCGAGAAAAGCAATGCCCACCGAAGCCAGCATCGCCGGAACGAGACAAGGCGCCTGCTCGCAACCGCTGCCTGATAACCACAAACGTCCCAGAATCCAATAGGGACTCCAGCTGAAAGGATGCTCGACGGCCAAGCCTTTCTTAAACAAATAATGTCCATGTTTGATGCGCGTGAGCAAGGAATAAACCTATTCACTGCTTTTCGCCTTGGCAGAAAACAGGAGGACCCAGCCAAGGTTCGTCCTCTGAAAATCGTCTGTCAGGATGAAGAAGAATGCCAACGTATCCTAAGACGGATCACGCGCCTCAAGGGAGAAACCTTCTACTTTCTGAAAGACCTCTCCCAGGAGGACCGAGTCCGAATGAGACAAGCTGTCTGCGAGCTGCGAACCCGACGCGCAATCGGAGAACCAGATCAACACACAGTGAATTTTCGCGTAGTCAAAAAAATCAGAGAGCTCGACGGAGGCCAAATCTCCTGCCAGGACCTCAAAAGTAAAGAACGGACTACGGGTAAAACCCGCGAACGTGCGCAGTCTCCGAAACAAGCTAGATGGGGTTCCCCTCCTTAGCTCCGAACAGCAACCGGGCCTAATGGCGTTCACCGAAACTTGGCTGTGCTCTGATTTATCTGACGCGGAGGTACATGTTTCAAGATATCAGCTACTTCGATGCGATCGTTTTGGTGGGAGAGCTGGACTCTGAGTAATCCTGTACACAATGAACCACTTAAAGGCCCACATTGTCTAGCCCGATGGTGACAAGGATGGTATGTCGGAAATGCTCTGGTGTCGGATTCATGATGGATACCAATCGCTGATGGTAGGGGTGGTCTACAGAGCCCCTGCAGCACCTGGCTCACACCTATTACCTCCCGCGCGCACTCACAGCAGAGGAACAAACGGTCTCCGTATGGGTGACTTCAACACCCCGACCTGATCTGGGACCTTCCTCACAGTGATCGCTCACGTGACTCATTTGAATTTGTTCTCCTTGATACCGTTCACGAGTGCAGCCTGACACAGTATGCTTGACAACAACGCGGATAGTCCATGGTCAAACACCAAACATTCTCAACCTGGTTCTCACTTCGGCACCATCTGGTGTCTCAGATTGAACAATCCGCCAAACCCTTGGGAAGAACGAGCACTGAAGGTCTCTTTTCGTGGACACGACGCCTCACCCTTCACGAGCAGGGACACTGCGTCGAAATTTCCGACGCACTGACTAGCCCAGCATAAGAACGACTGCAAGTAACATGGGCTGGAGTGTTCCGCAATTTTTGGAGTTTGATGACGCGTGAGAATGCCCACCATCTATGATGATGCAGCCCATTGGACAATTTATTCCAATCTGCAAATGCAGACCATCATCAAAAGGACTCCGTGGATTGAAAAAAGTAAGATCCCTAATGAAAAAATGACGGAAACTGTGGGATCAATGCAAGAGCACAGGACTGCAGTCAAGCTACTTAGAGTATAAAATTGTCAGAAAACTACGCACCCTGCGAAAACGGAGCATGGGACTACAATGTGAACATGGACTAGTCAAGGAATCCCAAAACTGTTCCAAGAAACCGTTTGCCTGCTTGAAGCGAAATGCCAAAAGCGGTAATGGATTCCCTGCTCTATCCTCTTCTAAGGAAGGTATCGTTCTCTACGGCGTTGCGGAAAAGACAAACCCATTGACTGCATACTATTCCTTGGTCTACTCAGTGAAGTCACCACTGCTCAACATATGTTTGCCTGCACATCACTCCTCTATGGACCGAGTTGAAATTAACCCCGAAGTAGTCACTAAGCTATTCCTCGAACTGGGCCCGATCTCCTCCCCAGGCCCGGACGGATTGCATCCCAGCTTTCTCGAAACGATGACTGAGTACGTCACCGCCCCTCGCTTCCAAGTCTTTCGACAATTTCTCGAAGGTGGCTGCTGGAAAGTAGGTACCCTCCTACCCACATACAAGGGGAAACAAACAAGACCCAGCCAACTACCGGCCAGTATGGCTGACATAAGTCGTATGCGAAACCATGGCAAGATTAGTCAAGTGTGGCCACCATCTACACTGTGTAAATATAAACCTCATCTCAAATGCTCTACATGGCTTCCGGAGAGCACGCTCATGCATTACTAACTTATCCTCGCCAGGGATGGGCAGAAGCCATAGAAGCCCGAAAACAGGCTGTCGTAATGTTCATTGACTTCTACAAAGCCTTCGATAAGGTTCCACAAGTGCGACTGCTACATAAACTCTGGGGAATTGGAATTACAGGGAATCTTCTCGCCTGCATTGCCGATTTCTTAAGAGGTACGACAAAACGCGCACAACTGAACCAAACCCTCTCTGCTCCAGTGCCTATGACTAGTGGTATTCGCAAGTATCAGTGCTTGGACCGGTGCTCCTCAAACTGTACATTAAGGATCTGTCGGCTGCCCTTCAAACCGACTGCCTGCTCTACGCCAATGGCCTCAAGCTATGGTCAACAGTATCCAGCACTGAGGATGTGGACAAATGACTAGGGGCTCTAGACCAGCTACACCAATGGCTCATCAAGTGGGAACTGCCAGTAAACGGAGCTAAATGGCTGTTCTCCAAAAAGGTAACAGTGAACCGTGCGGTGCATACCGCATTAGTGGGTTTCTCCTCAGGAATACTACTCACGAGACAGATCTCGTGGTTATCATGACTTCTGAATTTAAAAGGACGCAGGACACTTTGAAGAAGGTGGCCACTGGAAGGAGCCTTGTGGGTGCCTTAAGAAACTCATTCGCTGGAATGGCTCCTGAGATTTTTTGACCATTGTTCATCTTGTACGTCCGTCCAGTCATACAATATGGCCTATCAGATAGCCATCCACTTTCAAAGTTTGAATGAACTCTGCTTGAAAAGGTTTGGCAAAGTGTATCGAAAGCTGTTATGGGGCTTCGTTACCTCCCGCACCCCATACGACTCCAGCAGCTAAATCTGTTCTCCCTCGAGCTCCGCCGTCACCTGGGTGATCTCATCTACAATAGGCCGAGAGGAACTTGGAAGTGAGTTACAACCATTATTCCGGCCCAACACTGGTTGTTCCACACGAAGTCACGAATGGAAACTGTCTAAGCAAAGAAGACATCGGATGCGCACGGAAGTCACCCTATCCACTAGAGTGGTGAATGGTTGGTGCAGCCTACCGGAAGGAATTGCGGACGCTCCATCCAAGGGGAGTTTAAAGCGACTGATAGACATTCGCTGGGAATGCTGGAATCTTGCGTCTGTCACTGCAATTGCGACGAACCCTCAAGGAACGTCGCAATGCAGCGACACGCATCAAACCCAGTATGATACGGAATCGATGGGGCTCACGAGGGTTTTCCCTCCTGCTCTCTACAACTTAATGAACTCAATGAACAATGGACACCCGGATTCCGTAAGGGATTTTCATTTCTGACGAAGTTACTTCTAGCTCGTGAAAGCTGGGCTGAGGCAGTAGACAACGGTCACGCTATCGACGTGCTTTTCGTTGCCTTCTCGAAAGTCTTTAATACTGTCCCACATCAACTACCCTCATTGAGGTGCGATCGTATGAGATATCTGGAGCCGCACTTAAATGGGTCTCTGCTTTCCTAGAGGGGAGAGAACAGTGTGTATGCTTAGCCAGGCTGTTCTTCGTGGCGTTCCGTAGGGCTCGGCTCTAGTGCCGTTGCTTCTCGCAACTCAATGAACTTGGGCATTAAATTGGTGGACCAGAGTGTTTTTCGGGTGTTTCCGTTTAAGCCCCATCAAGAAGTCGGAGCACCCTTAACAACTGGATCGACGACCCGCTCAAGAAGGAACACTTTCGGCATTCACCCTATGGTTCCAGTCCCACTTGAACTTGAATCTAGGATTTTCTGTCATTTCAAACACTGTTTTTAATAATATTTGTACTAAACATCTGCTTAGCACTTACGCTAGCAATCCTGACTTTGTAACTATGACTATATGTATTGTGCTAAATAATTTTCCCTATTTTTCAATAATCCGGTGCAATTACACCGATTTATCTACCGCTTAGTCCCACTACTTTGATTCAAGGTCATTCCCTCAGCATGACTGAAAAGAAGCCTGATGTTTCGCAGATTACTTCAAGGAATTGGGTCAGGATAACTTTGACTGCTGCAAGTGTGGCTCCACTGGAAATTGTTTCCAACGACTTAATAAAGCGTGCGAAAGATCAAAATCTTAAGGTGAAAGGACCTGTGAGGATGCCGACTAAAGTGAGCTAAAATTTCCACTTATACTCCAGATTTTGCGTATAACCACCAGGAAAACGCCATGTGGGGAGGGCTCAAAAACTTGGGATCGTTTCCAGATGCGGATTCATAAACGTGTTATCGATTTGCTTTCTACTGATGAGGCAGCGCAGCAATTGACCCATATCTATCTCGAGCCAGGCGTCAATTGTGATGTCAAAGTTGCTGGTGACTCGTAGGAAATAAACCACTTGGAATTTTGCACTGTTATTTTTGGTCTGGTAATTGGGCCTTTGTCCAGCTCGAGGATTCGGATAACTCAGTAGATGGAATAAGCTGCGTCCAGCACTGGTAGAATGCAGCACGATGGAGACTTCGATAGGTGCTGTTCTGAACTTTTTCCAGACTTATTGTAATTTTACTGCATCATGTCACTACTGTATGACAGTACAGAGAAGGCTTCTGCTTCGTTTCGATCTTTTGCAGCAGCCGCGGAAGTTTAACCTCGGAATACCGGAGGCTCTTGTTCACTTACCGGTGCAAGAAACAAAACGCTCGTTAGGCAATAGCGTGTATCGTCATTGGTAGCTGACTTGACTTGACTTATTGGAATCACGCTATCTTTTCAACCTGTCTGACTTGTCCAAAAGCGCTGGTATCTCATCTACTGTCATTGATTCCAGAAATGCCTCTTACGAATTTATCTGGTTTCATCGCTTCCGAGTTGCCATCATCTTGGATTCTTTCACAACAGATGACGTGCTGAGGGCTAAAGCGGGCTGATTTACTCGGCTCTAATTTATCGTATTATAGTGGTCGACAGCGACTTCATTCTTAAACGGCACAGCATAGTTTGTGTCTGGCGGATTCGCAAAATTAGCCTTACTTAGCTTAGAGTATGGTCTCCTGGCCGCTTACCCCCTAACGAACTCTGAACATGGTCTGATAGAGAAGGTGCAGAGGCACGGACCAAAATCTGTACCGGAATCATCCCTACACTCTTCGATTTAACACTTTGAACCTGTTCTCCATGGAATACCACCGCCGTCGCGGATATCTCCTCTACACCAGGCGTATCCTAAAGGGAGAGATTGGAAGTGAGCTGCAGCAGTTCTTCCATCGAACTGTTTGCAGCTCGACACGTGGCCGCAAATGGAAATTATTTAAGTTGTGGACACTTCGCGCCCGTCCGCAAGCTGCCCTCTCTTCCAGTGTGGTAAATGATTGGAACAGTCTGCCGAAATACATCATTGACTCGCAGACAGAGAAGTTTCTAGCTTTTGCTAGACACCCATCTAACGCACAGCATGATTCTGCTGCTCTTACTTCAAAGAGGATCTCCCATGGAGTAATGCTTCCTGACAGCAAGGACCCACCTGATGATTCGGAACCGATGGAGCTGACAAAGTATCTCCCTCTTGCTCTCAATATTCCAATGTATTCAATGTACGCGGTCACTCTTTAGATACAACAGAACCCTCTACATCTTTTATGCCCAATCCATTTTACGTAAAACAATATGTATCGCGAGTTAATAACCTAAATGCTTTCATCATTTGTCGGAAAAGAACGGCGAGGTCGGTAGATGTTGGAAAACGCCTGGGTGTTTTGTAGACTTCAGCAAGGCGTTTGTCAAGGTGCCCCATGGAAGGCTCCTTCTTCAATTCCGAGGTGCCAATGTCTCTGGGGAGGTGCTGTAGTAGATAGCCGGACCATGCGAGTCAAGTTGCTAGAAGCCTACTTCACTCCTGTACTCATGACAAACAGTGTCTCTCAAGGATCAATACTTGGTCCAGTACTGTTTACGATCATCATTAACCTCCCTTCGGAACTTTAGTGGTATTGCCTTATTTAAGCCGATGACATGAGGCTGTGGTTGGAAGTATCCGATCTCGGGGATGCTGACAGACTGCAGGCGGCATTGGACATGCTAAATGAATGGTCATTGAAGTGGCTATTGCCCATAATGCTTGAAAAATGTTCATTTCTCCCCATAGGGGCTCTGAGCCGTTTTGGACGTACCAGTGTTGGGGTGTTACTCAGAACCACCATCCTTAAGAAGCATCTCGGTGTGCTTGTCTCATGATTTCCGGACCACAGTGATCACTACAGATGATTGCCTCTGCCAACTGGATGTCCCGTGTTATACGGAGAGCTTTCTCGCGATTGACTCCGATGATCTTAAGAACCTTACTTATTTTCCATGTGCGCCGCATTCTTGAATACGCATTACCCGCCATCTGTCCTCTTACGAAGTTCTAATGTGGCATGATTTAGAAAACTCAGCGGCGTGCTTCGAAATCCATCTCTGAGTTACGGATTGCTTTATTCTCTTCGTCTTCAGCGAATGAATCTTTTCTCCTTGGAATATTGTCGACTTCGCGGTGACCTGATTCTAACCAGGCGTCTCCTGAGGGGGGGGGGAGATGGAGGTAGAGCTGCAAGCATCCTTTCAAGTTAACGCTAACAGTTCAACTTGGGGCCACAAATTTAAACTGTTTAAACCAAAGGACTCACAGTCCGTTTCACTCTCGCTGTATCAACCGGCGTTGTAAATGACTGGAACAACTTCCCGAAACATGTGGTTGGCGCCGAGACTGAGGAATGTTTCAAGTGACTTTTGCATTCTCACTTGATGAGTAAGCTGGGACCATGCTGTTTCCAATGTACCTATTACGGCCCCTTGTGGAATACTGCTTCTCAACAATTCACGGCTTTCACGCAATGATCGCGAAGTGAAGGAGCTGACAAAGGACTTCCCATTCTGACATCGATAATTTGTAAAATCATGGAAAGAATTCTTAACAGAGCCCTAAATCTTCACCTGGAGCACCTGCATATCCTCATGCCCTCAGCATAATTTTCGGAGGGCATCTTTCTGTGTCTTTAACCTGTTTGTTGCGAAATAAAATTGGGCGAAATCGCCTGGATGTCGTTTTCGTCGACTTCAGCATGGCATTTGACAAAGTTCCACATGGACGTCTCAAAGTCCAGGGAATTGGCGTTTCTGGAAAGATTCTGTCCTGGGTCTCTGTTTTCCTGAATGGCCGAAGCATGCAAGTTAAGGTGAACGATACCTACTCCAATCCAGTTTTTGTGATCAGCGGGGTCCCACAGGACTCTGTCCTTAGTCATGAACTCTCCAAAATCTACATCGATGATCTTCAAACTGATTGCCTCATATATGCTTATGATCTGACCGTGGCTAAAGGTTTCCAAACTTGATGATGTTGACATGCTACAGACCGCTGGACCGGTTGCACTGCTGGTCATTGGAGTGGCGGCTACCCATTAACCACGCTGAGTTTTCTGTCCTCTCAATTGGTGCCCCGGACCCCTTTGATGTTCATTACCTTGGGGAATTCCTGCTCAGGGACGTAACCTTAGAGAAGGATCTTAGAGTTCCTGTCTCACCGAACCTACGCACGACTCAAAACGCCCTAAAGAAAGTTGCCGCTGCTAATATATATATATATATATATATATATATATATATATATACATATATATATTTAGATAAGGAGGTCCTTTTGCTAGATGACTCCAGAGATTTCGACTTCTTTTCAGCTTTCATGTTCGATCAGTTCTTGAGTATGGATGGCCAGAATCTTATCTTCTCACGAAGACTGCATGCGTACTGATAGAGAAGGTTTAGCGGCGCGGACTGAAATCCGTCATGACACTCCGGAATCTCTTACTCTCATCGCCTTCAAAGGATGAACTTGTTCTCCCTGTAGTATCGTCGTCGCCGTGTTGACGATTTACTCGCGACGTATTCTCCGAGGTGAGCTGGGGGATGAGATACAAGAGTTCTTTCGTCTTCGTGCGGATAGTTCGACACAGGGCCACGGTATGAAGCTGTTTAAACCAAGAAGGTTTCGGGTTCGCTCTGATATCAGTTAGTCAACTCGTGTGATGAATGAATGGAACAGTTTGCCTGAGCCATTCCTCAGTGCACAAATAGCGGAATGATTCAAACGATTACTAAACATATATTTGCTGGACAAGCATGGATCTTCCTGTGTTGACCGTAATCGCAATGCTCTCTTGTGGAACACTACCGCATCAACTCTCATGGTCCCTACAGTGAGCGGGAAATGATGGGGCTGACAAAGGATTTCCTTTCAGTTCTCCACAAACCAGCGAATCAATACTACTCTCTACAACCCAGTGTTCCACGGAAGCAAGTTCGTGACATCCCCGTGCGGAGGGAAGGTAGTTACTTCCCCTTAACATTTTGAAAAGCAAATAGAGAAGACGAAGCGTGATAGATGCATACAGTTCGCATTGTTTCCGAAGTCCCACTAACAATAACCGATATGCATGGAAATCGTTAAAATTGCATGCGACCAGACATGCTTGAGTTGGTGTCCGATGTCCGAAAGGAAAAGATATCTGCCTTGCAACCCGGATGTCACCGGTCTAGGCGATTCTCACAGTGGCGAGTAGTGTGATTTGCGTCCCATCGTGGATTTCGAAGGCTTCCGTGTCCATGGGGTACGTAAGTCGTAATAGGCATGGGGGGGTTGCAGTGAAAAGCCAATACCTCGTAAGTGGCTTGGTGCTCATGTTACAACCACCTAGTAAGAGACCACGGTAAATCGAACGTGAAATGAAGAACCAATGACCGTCTACCCGAGGTACAATGATCTTCGTACTTTGGGGATCACTGAAAAGTCACGCACGGACCTGCTACAGGTAGCAGCGAAGCATCGGTACGACATACTGCTGTATTTTTTGTGTGGTAATGTTAATGATGGAAGTTTACCCCTTCATCCAGAATAACTGAATGACAATTTTTATTTACCACACGGGGGCTGGCTTCGTTCGGTCTCGAGGTACCGGGTAGACCTGGGACCAGCGTTCAAAGTTGTGTGTTATCACACTAATACCCGCCTCCGGTATGTTGAGACTCGCAATAAGCCGGGTGGATCCAGCCATGTTCACACAAAAGCAGTTGTTAGCTAAAACTGCCCTGGACATAGGGGTAACTTTCGACCACTCACTGCACCTCGGGCATGTCTGACCACACCCAATGTTGGCTATATCTGTCATTGGATCAATTCTTGGATTGTATCTTCATTTCCCGATCGTTGCGTGTAAGCCGCGAGTCATTGCGAAGCGGTATTCTGCTAGTGGGAGCAACAAGGTCCCATCTTACTCACCAGTCGCTTAAAACATTCCTCAATTTTAGGTTTCGATATATTGTTCCAGTCATTTACTTATCAGGCTGTTAGTGCCCAGAGCCTTCTTCGCTTAAATAGTTTCCATTTGTGACCCCAGGTTGAACTATTAGCGTCGATCACTGGATAGCAGAGCTCAGGAAGGTCCCTTGTCAGTTCCATCACTTCCCGGTCATTGCGAAACGGAGCTCCACAGTGGACAGCCACAGCCCCAATGAAACAGCAAGCTCCTGGCATATTCAGCAAGTGAGAATCCAACGGCCTTTTATAGCACAGCGACGA